ATCAGCAGTGTGCATGGCTTTGTTCTTGGTGATGTGTTGGGTTGTCTTGAAGCACATGGGTTCTGGTTTCCACCAAGCACACTGCTTACATCCATCTTGTATGTTCTTCCAATATTTTTTTATGTGTTCACCCCGGCTGCTTTAGTTTCATACCACAACCCAAAAATGTACTGTTTTTCTGACTTCCACCCAAATTGGCCTTACTGCGTGTACAAGAGTGGTTGGCACATTTGATATCAGCATATCTAAAGCTAAAACCTATTTCTAGTTTTGTATAGTGTGTAGAAGAGTTGGAACCCCTGTAAGGTTTTTTTTTATTCCTGTCTGTGTCCCGTTGGAGTAGATTCATCCTTTTCTCAGCCACTGTCACCCAGACAGAAGGTGATGAGAAATTTGTATGGATTTCCCTTACATTTTGAGAAATTTCCTCCTTTCATTCTGTTTTTTGTTGCGGACAAAAAAATGATGAGAATTCAAAAAAGAAAACAATAGGATCAGGTTTCTAACATTCCTCACACCATCTAATTTAAAGTAGATGTAAGCCCAATCACTAAAATATCATATCCTCTTTACCATGTGAATGTCATTTCAAAAGTTCTTTTCTGTCTTTTAAATCTGCAGTTTTCATTAAAATAATACCAAATCATCCTGCCATTAAGGCTCTTGTTCAGGCACTTCCTGTTATGGGGAGACAACTGTCTCTCAGTTATGCTTTTCAGAACAGTGTCCACGTGTCTCGCTGCACTCCTTACCGGATATCCCAAAAGTAACGGGTGCTCGTAATGACTGCAGTTGGTGCTGCTCACAGTAGAACTTGAATACAGATGACACCAGCACAAGAATTCCATGTCAGTGCAAATCCATTTTATTGATAGATGTCACTCAAATGACAAGCGCTTTCGGGGCCACGCAGGGTGCCCTTCATCAGGCTCAGAGATTAACCTGATGAAGCTTGTCATTTCAATTATGCTTCTGCCACATGCTTCTCTACATGCAAGGGGTCATGCCTACACATTGCATAAGAATGTCCCACGGTTGTCACTATTAGAAAGTCGGTGGAGAGCAATGGTGTGCAGCCGACACTGAAGCGTGTGCATGTAGACAGGAAGTGGTTATAAGCAGTAGATGCAAAAACAGTACTTTATGGGAAACAATATGGCGGTTGTATACTACACAGTACGTTAGCAAATAAAATCTCGTCCAGCTAGGGTTTAATTCTGAACCTAACAGGAATGGGAATGGTTCAGTGTTCTTTATAATGTGATGCTATAAAAATAATTTCAGTGCTATAAAAATAAATAATACAGATACATTTCATATTTCCAGGGGGCCAAGGAATTATAGAATCCCTACCAGATTTTTACCTCTGTCGGTGTACCTCTTATGAATGTTCCCTCACCCTTGTCATCAGGAGAGGAAGTGAATGTAAATCTTTCTAACAGATAGCAGTAAAAACCTGCCACACAGTCCAATCCTTCCCCAGTCTATCCATCACTAGTTTTTGGGTTGACATCCACTTTCCCCCCCCCGAACTTGTGACTTGTCAGTTAGAGCACCCACCATGATAATCAACCTGTAGGGAAGATCAGAGGGGGACAGAAGCTTGCTGAGCGGGATTTGTATATAACTTTGGCTGTCTTTAAGTATTGATTTGCTGATCACTTTGACATTCCTTTTTTTACCTGAATATAACCTCCATTTATGTATTTCATCATCATGTGGTGAATTTTAATTGCCCATATTTGTGACAGGTTTACTGTATATGAGATCTCCGTGGAAGCTGTTCAAGTTGGTTTCAGTGGATGGTGATGGTTTGTCTGTGACTAAAATCAGCAGCGTTAGAATGGAGATATCCACCCGATGCTGCACCTATGGCATGTTTGTCTATGAGAACAAAACTGTTTTGTCCAGTAGGATCCATACAGTCACTATGGTAGGGATGAAGCACTTCTACATCAGCTGAGGGATGTATATTCTCTCTTTTAGATGGTACATCAACTGTTCCTTCTCCAGAGTTTAATCCAAAACCCCCAGAAAGAAAACGTTCCCTACCTAATGTAAATGTTCACATACCTGCCCAAACTGCAACTGGATTCGGCTTTATTCCCTCATGTGATAATAAACCTGAATCTGATGGAGGGTCCTCAGAAAACACCATGAACAGTATGGATGCAGGTAAGCAGATACTTTGGTTCATGGACATCTTCACATCTGGAAGGGGCCAAGGAGCCAACAGATCAGAGATAGGTTTTAAAGTGAATTTGTCCCTATATCTGTCTATGGCAATGTGACAAGTTCTCTTGAAGACTCTCTGTACTCACTCATAGGTGTCTTCCCTGCTCTCCTCCACTGGCCTGTTAAACTATTGAAGCCTTCAGTCCAATCCCTGTATCAGCTCCTAACATAAGGTTAGGTTAAATAGCCGCTAATTAGATGCACATTAGAGGGGTGCTTTTATGACTATAGAAAGAGTATTGGTTTCATGAGCTGCTCTAATGCAGGGATTGATTAACTCTCTCTAAAGCTGGCCATACACCTATAGATTTTCTGCAGATTTTCTATGGTCAGATGGAAAATGTGCAACAGATTCCTCCATCTACACTAAACTGTGTGGATGGAAGAATCTCCCACTGGGCCAAGCTTCAGTTTCTTGCTAGTTGCCCCTGCTTGCTCTTGTAATACCTGAATAATCTGATTGGATGCCAGCATTGTTCAGGTATTTTGACAGCCAGCGGGGCCGACTAGCAAGATACTGAAGCTTGGCCCAGTGGTAGATTACTTCATCCACACAGTTTAGTGTAGATGGAGGAATCTGATGCACTTTTTCCATCTGACCACAGAAAATCTGCATAAAATCTATAGGTGTGTGGCCAGCTTAAAATGCTGTTTGCACAGGGTATCTGTCTACATATGGCCCGATGTATCTCTTGCTGGAATCTTTTTAGTACCTAGAGAGGAATTATTGATTTGCACATTTACAAGCTTCACTTTTTATAAAATTCCAGAATCTCCCCAGTTACTTTCTCCTGAACGGGATCACGTTTACAATATTATCGATCACATTAAGAAGGAGCCTGAAGAAAGACAAGAATTGTATATCTCTGCATCTGGGGAGACCATCAGTCCAGGTAAGTGCATTGTTCACCCTTTCTTAAAATGTATGTCCAGGCAAAATTCGTTATTTGTTTAACATCATTTGTGCATTGCCCGGTCTTTATTTGATGTAATTCCTAAGGACATTTTAAATGGCACTCAAAGTACCTACGCAGGGCAGCACAGCACCCTTGTGCACCACTTGCTTATTGTGGTGCACAGTGTTGAATATAATGCTGCATGTCCAATAAATTATTTGTTCTGGTGCATTGGCATGACTTAATGGGTTACAAAACACAAAAATTCCCCAGCCTCAACCTGCTAGCCAGCCTGCAACCAAACAAGTAGCCCTGTCAACAGTATGCGTTAAAATCAGAGGTTTTAGTTGCACAAACTTTTGGCCAAAAATATGTAAAAGCCACACTGCCGCGTCAAGGCACCTCTGCAAAGTGTGGTCCTAACTCTATGTATCCGAGTCTCCAAGTGTGAGCATATTAATGCAGTTGATAAATTACATGCAGGTGTACCTGGAGGTAGCCAACTCCTCCTAATAAGGTGCAGGGACGCACTGGAGGCCCAGCAACCAAAAATGCACGCTGGGACTCCAGTGCGTCCCCCTAACCCAAAATAGTCAAACTAGAAAAAATGGTACATGCATGAATCTATAACCAGCCTTTATAGCAGGGCGCACATTGGGAAGGCTTACAACAATACAAAACACAAAAATTCCCCAGCCTCAACCTGCCAGCCAGCCTGCAACCAAACAAGTAGCCCTGTCAACAGTATGCGTTAAAATCAGAGGTTTTAGTTGCACAAACTTTTGGCCAAAAATATGTAGAAGCCACACTGCCGCGCCAAGGCACCTCTGCAAAGTGTGGTCCTAACTCCGGTTGAGGCTGGGGAATTTTTGTGTTTTGTATTGTTGTAAGCCTTCCCAATGTGCGCCCTGCTATAAAGGCCAGTTATAGATTCATGCATGTACCATTTTTTCTAGTATGACTTAATGGGTTGCCTTAATCGGGCTGCCAGGAAATGTAGGTCTATGGCAAGATCAACTAGGCTGAAGTGACACATGTTTGCCTGTCAATAAACGCTCACAGCCCATTCTATACAGTGAAATAGAAACAGTTAAAAAATAAGGTATCACAGTTTTCCCTCAAATGCATGGATATTAGTGCTGTGCTGTTCATGCACTACACTAGCATAGGTCAAGTAAGGTGACTCGCCATGTACATAAATCCCAACAATGGACTTCTCTTTACTTTTTCTCTTTTAGCCTGTTAAATACTGTATAACATTGAAAGTGTTTTGTTGTATCTATTTGCAAGAAAATACCTGTTCATCCTCTTAGAAATCCAGGGAGCTTGTAGCTTCCTATGAACTCTGCCTGTGCTGCACAGGTCTTAAGAAATGTTACATTACTACGGTTACTTTGTTCCGACACCTGGCTCCATTCGTGGCTTCCTGCAAATGCTGAAAATTAGATGGAAGGATACACAGATTTGCTGGGCGAAAGGGGAAAGAGACATACAAAGACTCTTCTGCCAAAAAAAAACAAATATTTTTTGTACAGACTTTAGTTCTGCTTTAAGCAAACATGCCTTGTCCATTCAGGGCAAAGCACCAGGTTTCTCTAAATTCCCCACCTCTCGTTATTTTATACACTTACCTTTCCCTTGCTCCCTGGATGATCTGGCCAACACCGGGAGCCAGCGCAGATGCTCTGTACTTCCTAATATAGAGGAGCATTTAGCTAATAATTGCTGTCAAAAAAAGTCCATAGCCCTGTGTAAGCTACAACTCCAATGGCTCCAATTTATCTTCACTCCTGGCAGCTGGGTAGACAAGTATGTACATCTGTGGTGGTCTGCATTCAAATGAACCTGTTGCATTGTCCTGCGTGGGCGATGCTTTGGGTTCACTTTAAGAGGAGGCAGAAAATGGTGCAGTTAAAGTCTCCAAGAGGTTGAAGAAGTAGTTGGAAGGCGATTCAGCAAAACAACCACAAAACTGAAATATCTGTTTTCTGTGAGGTTGGCTTTTAACAATTAGAACTCCTACCAAACTGTGAATAGACTTGCCTGTATGTAGCACACATTACTATGATCCTAAACTGTCCCTCTGTCTTCTAGCAGACTATACATACAACGAAGACGACTATGTACCACAGAAAACGACCTATAAAAGGGCCAGGAAAGGCAAGTCAAGATCAGGAAAGACAACTCCTCCCTGCGAGGTGTGTGGGAAAGTATTTGGCAGTAAGTCGTCTCTTGACAGACACCTGCAGATACACACTGGACAGCGTCCTTTTCCATGCAATGAGTGCGGTAAAAGATTCTCATGTAGGAACCACTTGATTACTCACAAGAGAACTCATTCTGGAGAGCGGCCCTATCCCTGTGACCAGTGTGGTCGGAGGTTCATCAATCACCAGCACCTCGTCCTCCATCAGGTAGTCCACACTGGTGAAAAACCCTTCTCATGTCCCGTGTGTGGGAAAGGCTTCACTCGGCAATCCAGCGTGGTCAAGCACTCCGGCATGCACGCAGAACAGAAGCCATACGTGTGCAAGGAGTGTGGCAAGAGTTACTGCCAATACGCCAACCTGGTTGTCCACCAGCGGCAGCACTCAGGTGAGAAACCATTTGTCTGCAAGTACTGTGATAAAGCCTTTATATGTAAAGCCACCATGTTGAGGCATCAAATGGCTCACACAGGGGAAAAGCCTTTTCCATGCCCTCAGTGTAATAAGTGTTTCATTGACAACTCCACACTGTCAAAGCACAAGCGTAGAGTACATTCTGCGTAGCTGCAGCATCCTCCCAAACCTTCTTATCCCAGCCTAATGCCAGGCCATTCTGATAGGCAAAGCTGTTACAGACAAAGCTCTGACAATTCTAGCTAGTGTTGGAGCCTGCCGCTTAGCTCCTGCTTCACATTTCTATTGACCAATCACTATGATTATCAGCCTCAGTAGACAAAAGGAATGTGTAGGAGGTAGAAAGGGGTTAAATAGCTTCAGTACTACTAGAAGGCACCAAAACATCTCAGAACGTCCCAAGGTTGAGCCATGACCGAAAAGTTTAGAAGATGGCTGCAAGTTTATGCAGCTCATACCTGCAGTAGTTTGTCCTTTTACCCCTCAGTCTCTTTACCATACATTCTTATATACGTCGGCGACTCTGTTAATGGGGTATCCAGGCTTATGGTTCCTGGGTTTGACACCTGCTGGGCCCATAATGATAGTTTCCCACTTTCCTTGCTGAATATTTATATTTAAATTATATTATGAAGAATTTTGCAGGAGTAGTGAAGTACAGAAAGATGGGCATGAACACCCGTAATTCCCAAATGGACAGGAACTCTATAATTATGACAGGGGATCTCACTGGAGTGTCAAAGGCATCTAGGTAAAAAGCCAAGGACTGGCTCAGTTCTAATAGGCTCTATCTAAGCACAGCTTTTAGGTGGACTAACCCTTTGAAGGGACCACAGGGCTTAAAAGGTGTCAATGGGGGGGGGGGAGATATATGCTTCCCCATACCGAGAAGCACAAAGCATTGTCTTTGCCTGCGATGGAGGCAGGAATGGCGAGGGAGTGCTACTTGCAAGGTAGGTACTGGGAATGAGGGGAGCCTTTGTACAGAGACCATAACTTTGCCCTGAATGGACAAGGTAACAGCGTCTCTTTAAGTGAGACCCTTTATGAACACTGGAAATCCAGAGCCTTATATTCACAAGTAATATTTGGAAAGGGAGCAATGTAGAGTTTCAACCAGAACTCCAGGTAGAAATAAAAACACCATATCACACCGGGAGGCTGGCCGTGTGAAACAGACTTTGGTTACTGGCTATGAACCCTTTGGGATAGTCAGGAGTCTCACAGACTGTTCTGCTTGTGTTTGTCAGCCCTTAGTGGGGCAGCAGATGACAGTAGTGGGCTCATGCTCTAAACTTGGCCATGTCAGTTCTTTTAATGTTATACATGTATGCTACTGACTCCAGCTGCAAAGAAACTACAATTGTAACACATGTTGGCTTTTGTATTTACTTATCATATGAAAACCATTTACTGGTCCCATGGACTTTAATGTTCAGTCACCAGTAACTGGAACTGATTTGTTTGTGCTGTCTTCATAGTTTCATAGTATTTCATATTTCTGTTATAGTCATCTTTTTATTTTATTTTTGTTTGTCTAGTGAACAGGTTCACCTATTGGGCTTCCGGTCACTTCAAAGGATATTCCACTTCAATAAATGAAACAGCATTCAATGGGCAAGCTGATACATAACAGCATGAATCCCTCCACTAAGAATCTAAGCAATCACTTGTTGGCTGATAGAATTTGTGGAGCTGCTTCTCTGTCTTAAGGTGGCCATACACTCTACAACCATCGCAAGACTTTAGTCTTGCGATGGTTGTACAGGGATTAAAAAAACGTACGATCTGCCTATTTTGGACAGGCAGATCGCACTCTCGATCATCGCAAGCCCGCCCCCCTGAGGGGCGGGCTTCCGATGACCGCAATGCTGAACGGGCAGTGTGCGCGTGCGCACACCGGCCCGTTCGGCATTTGTCTTCCGAGCACCGTTCTAACCAGCCGAGAATCGTACGATTCCCGGCTGGTTTTCGAACATGCTGGTTCGACAGAAGACGTGCGACCGTACAGTAGAAACGGTCGCACGTCTCCGTTCACACTGCTCGATTATCGTACGAAAAACCGATCGCATACGATTATCGTACGATAATCGTGCAGTGTATGGGCACCTTTAAGCTGGCCATACACCTATAGATTATCTGCAGATTTTTTATCGTCAGATGGAAAACAGATTCCTCCATCTACGCTAAACTGTGTGGATGGAGGAATCTCCCACTGGGCCAAGCTTCAGTATCTTGCTAGATGGCCCCGCTGGCTCTCAACACCAGAACAATCTGATTGGATGCAGGCATTGTTCAGGTATTTGAGAGCCAGCGGGGTCGACTAGCAAGATACTGAAGCTTGGCCCAGTGGGAGATTCCTCCATCCACACAGCTTAGCGTAGATGGAGGAATCTGTTGCACTTTTTCCACCTGACCACAGAGAATCTGCAGATAATCTATAGGTGTATAGCCAGCTTTAGGGGTGATGTTGTTTCTGTTCTGAAGTGGAGAATTCCTTCTATGTTTGATCAGGATGATATATTTCCTTTAGGCCTCATTTACACGAGAAAAAGCTGGCACGTACAGCTCCATGCACGGCCGTATCGGGCAGCTCCAGGGAAGGAGCGGTGCTGCGTGTGATTAGTACACAGGCCCTGTTGTCCTTCTCTATGGGAGTACACGGCTGTAAGCCCCCCCTACGCTCACCCACCCTGCACGTATGTGCGGGTGAGCGTACTCGTACACTGAAAGGACGGATCCTGTCTGCGTCCAAGCCGGGGCACCCGTATGGACCTGCACTTGGATTGAGTGCAGGGCGGCTTACTCCCATAGAGAAGGACAGGGGCTGCCTTCTAATCACATGCAACACCTGCCCTTCCCGGGAGCTGCCCGATACGGCAGTGCACTCAGCACGGAGATGTACGTGCCGGCTTTTTCTCGTGTGAATGGGGCCTTAGCATAGATAATACCATGCAAACCCCTTGTTGGGGCAATACATGTCTAGAATGTCCATACGATGTTACTTACCGCTGCTCTGCACAAGTCTTACATGCTGATGTTGTTTCAATCTAGATGAAATAAAAATCTACTATGCATTTTGTGAATTGACTCCGGTGTTGTGTAAAGGATCTTCCATGGATTATTTTCATGGTTCTCTTGCTTTAAAGGTAACCTCATCATGAATGAGAATTACACAAGTAGTGCTCTCTAAAGCTGGCCATACACCTATAGATGATCTGCAGACTTTCTATGGTCAGATGGAAAAAGTGAAACAGATTCCTCCATTACGCTAAACTGTGTGGATGGAGGAGTCTCCTGCTGGGCCAAGCTTCAGTATCTTGCTGCCCTGCTGGCTCTCAGAATTCCTGAACAATCTGATTGGATGCAGGCACTGTTCAGGTATTTTGACAGCCAGCGGGGCCAACTAGCAAGATGCTGAAGCTTGGCCCAGTGGGAGATTCCTCCATCCAGACAGGGACGCAGGGCGTAGTGACGTGCTGGACACAGGACCCACCTGAGAGTGACTCTGCAGAGCCCACCATAGATGCTGCACAGCCCATCTGCGACTGTCTATGGTGGGCTCTGAAGGGGTCTTGGGTGGGCTGGTCAGGGCTGCACCCCTGCTCTCCCTCCTTTCCTTCCTTCCTAGCTCCTCTTACCTGCACACATGTTCCATCCATGAGAAAGGTGACACACTAGGGCCAGCATGATACCAGCTTAACACCTTGCCTTATGGGCTCAGCTGTTTTTGCCGGTTAGAACAGCAGGCATTTTTTTAATATGGGTCCTCCGGCAGATAAAAAAATCATCTCAGGCTGCAATACTCACATTCATCCGGAGCTGTCCCCTGCAGTACAAGCCACAAGATGCCCTCAGTCTTCCGGGTTGAATGACACCCAACATCGTGCAAGACTGAGGGCATACTATGAATGAATAGGTGACATGGCCCGGCCCTCTGAAAGTGACTCATCAAAGTTCCCTTCCTTCAGGTATTCCTTCAGGTACTCTGGTTACCTCCCACACTCCAAAGACATGCTGGTAGGCTGATTGGTTCCCGTCTAAAACTGGGGACACACAGATATTTTTTTTCGTTCAGCCTCGCAGGCGATTCCTCTATCCATGCAAACAACAAGGGGGAAGAATCCCCTGCTGTGTACATTGTATTCTGTCAGAATACCCCAACAGTATTGGCATCTGATTGGTCAACGATTTTCCAGCATGTCCCTTCGACAAAAGTCGATCGGATGATCAACCTTTGTAAAGGGAATAGGGCCACTCATGAATTCAGTTGGGGCCGGTTCCTACTGAATCAGCCAAAAGTCGATCCACGTGTACCCAGCTCAAAGAAGAAATCCGGGGAAACGCATGTATTAAAGGAGAACTATGGGGTAAGGGCTTTTCCCTATAGTTCTCCTTAGGATAACGGGAGGACACAAACTAGCGTCCTCCCGTTACCCTAAGCTCAGTATACCGCGAGCTACAGCTGTACACGCCCCCTCCCCCGTCCGTTCCGCCACTCAGCGCTAGCGGGGAGGGGGGAATCCAGCCCCTCCACTCTCACGGCAGAGAGCCGTGACAGGATCGAGAGGTGAGCGAACGCCGGTATATGTTCGCTCACCTCCCGATCTACTGAGCCGACGTGTGACAGTCTCATTGTCACAGATCGGCTAGAACTATGAGGTGAGTGAAAAGCACTCGCCTCATAGTTCTCCTTTAATCCTTGCAGTGGGGCTACTCCTGCACTGCAAGGGTTAACTGATCAACTGATCATTTGTGTCTAGGTGCTAAAAATAAAAGGTTGTACTCACCCGATCATTAGAGCCGGCTTGTTCTTAGACTCTTACCTAGAGCCTCTCTCCCCCTTCCGCTGCAGCTGTGTAAGAATCCTTCTGTCATCATGTTCTATATAAGTGTATAGATGTGAAGATGCAGAGGAGGAGACGCACATCAGTGATCAGAGGAGTAGGGATTCAGCTCGGCAGTTCGGGTGAGTAGAATTCTTTTTTTTGTAGCACCAAGATCCAAACAAGCAGTTACACCACCGGCTGCATGAGAGACATCCATTGATTCGTCCATCCATGTTAGCCAGCAATGGAGAAGTCCCCATTGCTGGCTATTCTGTTCAGCAGCTGATGCTCAAAATTGCCTGGACAGTGCCTGCGTCCTATTCTGTGCAAAAAAGAAATAGACACCGGCACTCAAATAGTAAATCGATTACGTCTATTTATTGACGTACATCACTGTTGGTGGTGTGAACCGGCCCGTTTTCGGGGACACACAGGAACCCCTTCATCAGGCAAAATGTTTTGCCTGATGAAGGGGTTCCTGTGTGTCCCCGAAACGTCGCACTAAGTGTGTTATTTTGCTTTTGATGTACGTCAATAAATAGACGTAATCGATTTACTATTGGAGTGCCGGTGTCTATTTCTTTTCTGCATTACTTTGACGGTGGCCATCCGTCGACTACTGAGCACCCAGGATACTTTGTTGGACGTGCGGTCAGGAGTGCAATGGGTACATGGACTGTAAACTGTACTCTATTCTGTGCAAGTCCCTGAGGTGAATGAACAGAATGTAAACTGCAGCCTAACTTTACAGCACTATATAAATACCTGTGATCAAACATTTCTTTATTTCGGGTCTCTGCATTAGCTGCAAGACCTGCACAAGAAGCATTTACATTGATGGCTTTTCATAATGACGATGTAACAAAGTTCTGCGCACCTATTATTACAAATCAGGTTTGTTGCACTAAAGTGGGCCCGCATGACCTGGCTTTCCCATTATGAAGCAGAATTTAAGGGCCGGTTCACACCACCAACAGTGCGTTCCAGAGCCGTCGGACTCTGTAACGCACTAAATCACATTCCGGCTGGCTCCCTGCGTTCAGGGGCTTGGTGGCGCATTGAAGTCAATGGCATTGCCCAAATGCGATCGCCTGCACCCGAACAAAAATAGTGCAAGCAATATTTTTGCAGATCGGACTGGACCGGAACACAGGCATTAATGTTCCACGCGTTTGACTGCAGAAGGGGGGGCATGGCTGCGGTGCCATTGAATTCAATGCACCGCCATGCCCCCTCCCGCAGGGCCTGAATGCTCTGGAACGCACTGTTTGTGGCGTGAAACGGCCCTTAAGGCAGCTGAATAGACAGGTAAAAGTTATGTGATTCATACACTGCCTCACTTTACAGTCACATAGTTACTTAAAGTGACACTAAACTCAGGATTTGAATATTAAAAATGCAAAAGTGCTGAGGATCTACAGCCGAGTGATACACAAATAAGATACATTTCTGTTAATGGTTAAGATGGAATAGGGTGCCTCTGCTGATGTCACGGAATACAGGCGAGGAGTATGTAATACTTATATGTCTGTTCATGGATGCTGTCAGCAGAAGTACCCTATTGCGAGAACCACTACATATCCAGGAATATACGTGTGCTCTACCCTGCTGGCCGTGGTAAATTGTGAATTGGTGTGTGACCATCTATATATACCTGTGCTAATTAAGTGACAAGTGGCCCACAAGCATAAGAATGTGAAACGCGTTGCAGTCGGGACCTCTACTGACTACGCTTGACAATTTTCCGTAAATAATCTGCTCAACAATTTGGGACAATACGTTTCTTGCCCAATATGTAGAAGGTCACTATGTCAACCAATATGCCGATGGTCAATATAGTTGTATGGTATCACCACCAATGTGTTTTATGATTTCACTGACTTATCATGTTGCAATAAAAATTGGATTCTACATATTCTGTGTACGTTATCTTGTGCTAAGTGACATCAGAAAAAAATAAATAAAAATGATTTGTATGAATACTGTTTAATCATATTGACTTAGTGCTCTGATGTTGGAAGCTTTGGGGAATCCCACTTGGTTTACTGTCTGTACTTTCCTTTGTTGCTGTTTTATTAGACAATGAATCCATTCCTATCATTCTGTTCATTTACAGTCACGTGAACAGGCCAGAGCCCCAAGAAGGTTTAGTCTGCTTGGTTGTGCAATATGATAGGTTTGTATAAGTCACATCGCTGGCTGAACAGAAATGAAATGATTTTGGCAAATAAATCAAATGTTCAGATACACACTCCCCGAGCACTTTATTACCAACACATGTACAACGGCTTATCCATACAATCATTCAGCCAATCATGGGGCAGCTCTGCAATGCATACAATCATACTCAGAAACTTCCGTTAAAGTGGTCATAAAGTCTATTGGTTTTTTATCTTAATGCATTCTCTGCATTAAAGGTAAAAAGTCTCACTGCTTTTCCATGCTACACGTAAAATGACAGAGTGGGGTCAGCCCATGCTAAAGTTCACAGTGCGCAGAAGTCACAAACTGTCTGCAGAGTCAATAGCTACAGACCTCCAAACTTGCTGGTATTTGTATTCCTTTATAGCTGGTAGTATTCTGCATTGCTGTATAAGGTATTGCTGAGATTTGTAATCCTTTATAGCTTGTAGTATTCTGCATTGCCTTATATATAGACCCTGGAGACATCAGGCCACCACCTAGAAGCAGCACAAGAGTAAGTAGCTTCATATTATTCTGTGTTGCTGTATAATGTATTGCTGGGATTTGTATTCCCCCTGTAGCTGGTGGTATTCTGTATTGCCGGGATTTGTATTCCCCCTGTAGCTGGTGGTATTCTGTATTGCCGGGATTTGTATTCCCCTATAGCTGGTGGTATTCTGCATTGCCGTATAATGTAGGGCTGGTAATGATTAAAATTTTCGTGTTCGATTAATCGTAATTTTTTTTAATCGATTCATTTTGATTAATTATAACGCACATGCCGATCCAACTACATTGGCCTATACACATACAGCACTGCAATGAAGTAATAAAATGAACTAGGATCACACTAATCCAGCACATTATTAATCTCACGTGCCCCACTCAATATGGCCGCCGCTTGAGTGGGGCAACTCAGAATAACGTGCTGGATTAGTGTGATCCTAGTTCATTTTATTACTTCATTGCTGTGCTGTATGTGTATAGGCCAATGCCTTGGCTGGCGCTCGTGCAGAAAGTTTCAAAACATTTTTTCGAATTTTAATCGATCAAAAAGATTAATCGAGAAATTAATCGTTAATTTGCACAGCCCTAGTATAATGTTTTGCTGGGATTTGTATTTCCCCCTATAGGTGGTGGTATTCTGCATTGCCGTATAATGTATTGAAAAATGTGAAATCTGCGCTTATGGAAGGGTTAAGTGTTAAAGCTGCTGCGCTATAGTTTTTAACGACAATGAAATGATGAGTGTGCAGCGCTGTAGGTGTTTTATGTGTTACACATCTATTACCGTGCTAAAATCCCTACAATGGGTAAAGTGTAATCCCTTTTTCAGGGATATATAAATATGAAAAAATTGTGTTTAAACAAATAAAAATACAAAACAATATTAGGTGATCCTAGTGTCTTCACATAGCAATATCCTTAATTATTAAAAGGAAACAAGTGCCTCATAAAATCCGCTGTGTAGCTATATAACAGCCAACTTAATCAAATCCTATACAATAGTCAGTGATAATTCATCAAAATAAAAGTTCATCAAAATAAAGTTCAATTGTGATGATAATGTGGAAAATCCAAAGTAGAAAAAAAATGAAGCCCAGACAGAAATATGTCGTATAATGTATTGCTGGGATTTGTATTCCCCCTATAGGTGGTTGTATTCTGCATTGCCGTATAATGTATTGCTGGGATTGGTATTCCCCCTATAGGTGGTTGTATTCTGCATTGCCGTATAATGTATTGCTGGGATTGGTATTCCCCTAAAGCTGGTTGTATTTTGCATTGCTGTATAATGTATTGCTGGGATTTGTATTCCCCCTATAGCTGGTGGTATTCTGCATTGCCATATAATGTATTGCTGGGATTGGTATTCAGCATTGCTGTATAAAGTATTGCTGAGATTAGTAGTCCCTCTACAGCTTGGAGTCAGTGGCAGAGCTACCACGGTCACAGCTCTGGGTGGGCCACTGTCCTAAAATTATTATTTTTAAACATGACACAACCACACACAAAAAAAAGAAAGGTATCTGTAATTGGTATCGGCAAGTACTTGAGGAAAAGTCAAGTATCGGTACTCGTCGTATCGGTGCATCCCTAATTTCCAGGAAAGTTTTTGGGCCCAGAGTTCAGCTTTAACATTTTGGTTTGATTAACAGATTATTTATTTCATGGAAACTAGTTTACATGCTGAAAGAAAATCTTTAATGTCATACTCCAATAAAGGAAAAAAAAAACCTTGCAAACATCTGTTTTTACCAGAACCTGGTATTGCCTTCTGTTAACTTCACACCACATTTTAACTGGTCCCTGTGTAACAACTGAAGACTGACTGAATCACCGGTCTTCATTTTCATTGCTTCACTTAAAAAGGGACGCCGACCTCAAATTGTCCTTGCATCAAGCACCATAGTATACAGATTCATACATCTTCATTGACTATGTCACTTTTATAAGCATTCATGAAGATGGCGTTTGCACCGTTTGCTTCTTTGCACCAATGTAACTCAGGGGACCTGACCATACTTACATGAGTGTCACAGCTCACCCCGACGCTTGGTCACGCCTTCCAACTTACTGCACTGTGCAGGGATTATCACACCTCAGTAGAAGAACAAAAAAGGATCATCATGGGGGAAAATAAGGGAATTTTGGAAATATACATGTTAATGAACTTTGAAATGTAACTTAAGTGCATCCTCACAGCTGAGAAAATGAACAAAGAATTCAGGAGCAAGTCAGTCCCATCTAGGAGACAGCAGGCATTTTGTAAAGGAGCCAGAGATGCGCAAAAAAACAAAACAGAAAAAAAAAAAAAGGCTCAAAAAAAAGTTAGGCACCGGCTGTAATTTTTTTGGCGCACTTCCTACCTGGTCCTAGGATTTTCCAGCTGCTTCAAAAAGGAAGTAGTAAAAGTCTTGCATCAAAAATATTGATCCCTTAAATATCTACATTAGGCAAATATAAACGAGGAAAAGAAATAAAAATAATGAGGTCAAAGTCCCTTTAAGCATTCTATCATGACACACGTTCACAAACTGTCTGTCTACCACCTAGGCGGGGGGCCGGCCTACTTGCGTACGCACAAGCAGGTGACAAAAGCACTTTCAGAATTTCCGGCGCTTTCCTAACTATTCAAACCCGATGGATCGTTTCCCCAGGGGCTCTTGTTTTTGTGCGGGTGACACTTGTGCACTACGGAGTTAAATTTGGTGGAGAACCGTTTACCGCACTCGTTGCACTGGTGAGGCTTTACCCCGTGCACGACGGCGTAATGTCTCGTGACGCTGGACTTGTACTTAAAAAGCTGATCGCAGGCGACGCAACGGTAAGGTTTCTCTTCGGTCAGGTTGGGCACCTGGATTGATGACTGTCCTACATCGCTGTCGTCGTCGTCGGTTATTATGGAGGGCTGGTTGTACGGTCGGTTGTTGGTGCCGCATATGAACCTCTGGCTGATGCTCCAGATGTTCTGGTCGTAGCGATAGATTTCAGGGTGGAGTTTATCCAGCAAGGTGGTTTCGGTGCTGAGGGGTCTTACTGTACCGTCTTCCTGTATCTCCTCTGTCATCTCGAATCGCATGGCCTCGCGGTACAGAGGACCTGGAAAAGGGCGTTCTCGAATCACATCCATCCTAATGGGTTCAGCTACTAAAATGAGCAAAGAAACAAACAAAAACATATAATATATTATATTGTAAAACACAAGAAAATAGACGGCTCAGGAATTCAGCAGATATTAAGGTCTTTGTGAGTCAGTGTTCCCAGCGTACAACAGAATATGAGGGGAATTTATAAAAACTGGAGCAGACAAAATGTGGAGCAGTTGTGCATGGCAACCAATCAGCTTCTCTCTCTCATTTTCAAATCTTAACAAACTGAAGAGAGAAGCTGATTGGTTGCCATGCACAGCCGCTCCAGTTTTGATAAATTCCCCCTATTTGTTTAGGGCCAAAGTTGGCGTGCCTTTGAACGCTTCTTGCAGGAGAAGGTCAACTTTGCCTGTATTACAACCTGGAAGCAAATTTGAGAGGTCCTGTGACATCTGACAGCAGTTGTCCTGTCAACTGTCTAAACTCTCAGAGGGGAATTTATCAAAACTGAAGAGAGAAGCTGATTGGTTGCCGTGCACAGCTGCTTCAGATTTTGTCTTCTCCAGTGTTGATAAATACCCCTCTCAGTCTCAAAGCCCCTTATAGTGCTTTACAGCACTATACTGACTTGGCTCTCAACTGGTGGGTCGCAACCTCGTGTTCAGCGGGTCACCACATGCCTTCCAATTTTCTAGGTGAGAGGCTCCTCAGCCTCCCCCAGCACAGCCAGTTCTCTCGCCAAGCAGCCATTCAAAATATGCTGACGGGTGCTGAGTGTCAGCTTGAGGTGGGCTGTGGCTATGGCCAGGAGGGAGCTCCATCCATACATACATAGATAGATAGATAGATAGATAGGATTGCTTACAACTCCCTCGCGTGTCTTAGAGAGGTGCCTGGACCGGAGTGACGTCACATTCTGTCTCCCGGCACTACTACAGGGCGTGCAAGGGAGCTGTACAAGCAATGCACATGTGGATGGAGCTCCGTCACTGGACCGCAGGCTGAGAATCCACTGCAGTTCTTGTATGGTGCGGGTGTGCCTGCAGGAGTGGCAGTGCTGGTGGAGGGAGGGAGCGGTGCCGCCTGCTCATGCCCAGTAATAATACTGATTGCCCCCCTATCGGATCTGCCACTGGCCCTGCCAGGGGGCGCGGAGCACATCCCCCCTAGCTTCAGCACTGCCCCCAACCACCCCTGTGCCTCCCCTTCCCCCACACTGAGCCACTATTACCTGGCTTCTCCCCACTTTTTCTATGTCCCGCAGCCTGCTCAGTCCGTGTACTGACGAGATGCCCCGCCTCCTGCAGAGCCCACACTGTACTGAGAGCCGCGCATTCCTTATGATAGCCGCTGCTTGAGTCAGTGAGAGGCAGCCCCGGAGCCTCCGTGCTGCTTCAATGACGGCCCAGCCTGCACGGCTTCAGAGGGGCCCGGGGACCACCAAAATATTCTCACGGACCACTGGTTGGCGACCGCTGATTTAAACCCTTCATGAATGACACTGCATAAATATGATCATTTATGACAAAAAAAAGCCTGCTTATCATTAGTTTTCCTTAAAGTGAATCTTTTCTGAAAGAAACACGGAGGCTGCCATTGCTGACCTCCTTCTGAAGATGTCTGGCTATTACACTGGTTTTAGTACTTTGACTCAAAGACATGGAAGAAATATACAGATGAAGAAAGTCAGAGTAATGTCACATGTCCTCGTCCTCATACTTGGTCCAGGTTAATGAAGCAAAGCAATGAAGCCGGGCAACTAGAATTTTCAGAAGCAGCCATGGCAGCCGCCATGTTTCTCTGAATAAAGATCACCTTTAGGTAAAGTACACTAGAAGTACACAGGATGACTCGTGTTTCCAGTATCTCACATTCAGCAAGAGTGCTGCTATAACCAGCTCCTTGGTACCCCTGCTGACATACCAAGAGAAGACTCCTCTTCACTGTCTTCTGCATCACTTTTATCCTTGTCTTCTGATTCATCTTTGTCCTTTTTACTCTTTTTACTGTCCTCTTTGTGTTTTCCAGCAGTTGAGGCACCAGGGTAGACATCGGATGAGGTATTGGTTGAGGCATCAGCTGTGATATCAGCTGGGACATTAGATGAGGCACACTTTAACTCTCCAGCACGAAGATCTGGCAACTCTAAAACGTAAAAACAGGAATACTCTACTAAAATAGATATCACCTTACCAATAAACCTGTGTTCAGTCTGAAGCGAACATGAAGCACTTAGGGGAGCCTGTATGGACTGCCAAATACCATGTAGAGCCACCCAGGAACCTCAAACACTCAATTATGCAAATCTAGACTTCAGATCCTGGGGTCAAGCTGAAACCCTCCTGCTTCATACCATGACCCATACTCATGACAGGCAGCCTGTGTGACAAATAATGAAGTTCTGTCATGTGCGAGCTCTGCTTTGAAAGGAGCCAATACAAGGTGCCTGCTATTAATGTTATAATAATAATATAATAGTTTTTGTAATCATGTGTTAGTGCTCCGATTTAGCATCCAATTCTTAGACCCATGCACTGTGTTTGTAAAGGGTCAGGAGGGCCCCTTTACAAACACATGGTTACTGTCTCCTAAATGGGCAAAGTGACAGTGTCTCTTTAAACTGGTCCTCAGAGCCATGTGCAATGCAGTAAATGCTTTGGTTGTCATACAGTTTATAAAACATATTTCAGTTTTTTCTTTTCTATATTATACATGTCTGTATTCAATAGGGGTCTTTTATATCTGCATATGCTTACATTTATGCATTACAATTATAACAAAATGTATTATTACCTAGGTCAGTACTTTCTGTAATCTCTATTGTATTGCTGGGCACATCAGTATCCATGAAGACATCTTGGTAATCTTCTTTATGCCCTTTGACATAGTCCCATTCTTCCATAGAGAAATACACAGCAACATCATCACACTTCACAGGTACCTGCAACATAGCAAGAGTGTCAGTGCACAGTAGGGATGCACCGATACGGAGTCTTTACACGCTGCCCGGCTAATCAGGAAGCCAGGTGGTAAGTCATTACACACCGCCTGGCTTCCTGAATGGGACTTCCGGTACTTGGTATCGGCGAGTACCGAAAAAAATTATCGGTACTCGATACCGAAATCCCTGTATCGGTGCATCCCTAGTGCACAGGACCAGGGATGACGCTTGTTGGTCACACATCAACAAACATATGTGCATGCCAACTCCCATCGCAACAACTTGTGCCAAGTTCTAGTCTCCCCTGTCAGGGTGAAGTGGCACAGTGGGTTGTCTCTCCTGGTTCTGACAACCGTGATAGAAGCAGCAGACAGTTCCAGATAGGACACCACACTATGAGGTTGATGTAGAAGCTTTGCCCAGCATATAGCTTGATGAATACCATTCACATGGCATTACAATCGCTAGATGGTGCGGAGGAGCATAGGAATCTGCTATGCTCCTCTAGCGGCTGTAATGCCATACAAATGGCTTTCACCCGGGTATACGCTCGCCAATGCCTTTATACATCAGCCCCTATGTTTCCTGCTCCTGTAAAAATACCTACAAGTGAGAGAGTTGGACAGTAAAGATGTAGTCATACACCTGTCAATTTCTTCAGTTCATCCCGTGGGCTGAACGAAAGAAATTGACGCGATTCCTCCATCAACACAAACAGCGTGTCAATCAAGGAATCGCCGCTGCTTGCATTGTATTCTGACAGGAGCCGCTGGCACCTCTCAGAATACCCGATCAGAGTGGCAGCTCATTGGCTGCTGGCTCTGATTACAAAACCACCATTAAAAACCGTCCGAAATTCAGCCAGTGTATGGGCAGCTTTACAGAAGTAAACCCAACTAAGAGATAAACCGGTATACTTGCCCCTCCAGATTTTGGGTGGATACAGCAGTGTGGAAACGTTTTCTTTACAATGACGTATTTCTGCAAGGCAAGCAAAGTGTGGGATGAAACGACAAGCGCGGCGGAATCTGAAGGCATTATTTAAGGCAATTCAGCTGTTGGAATAGAACAAGTTACGACATGCACTGAGAGCAATGAGCAACAACCACACAACGTCACGCTTCGTCTAAACTACCTAATGTGTTCTTTAAAAAAAAAAAAGAAGACCTTTGCACAGAATCAAAATCATCCCTTGAAGCATAGTTCCTGTTTGCATTACAGAGAATAGGGGGGTCCGCCATTGTTTTGGATCTAGTGTGGAAGCATTAGAACCAGTCAGGCTTCATTGAGTCCTCCCCCAAAACAGAGAACTACAGGCATCACAACACAGGTTTAGTGAGTAAACAGCTCCCAATCCCAAAGAACTTCTTTATAAAACTATCAACTTTATTGCAAAACTGGTCCTTGGCCCCACCCCTTTTACCCATTACCACTGCCTATTGGTTAATAAAGATGACAGGCAGCCTCAGGGCCCATTCACACGTTGTGTGCTGTGACAGCATGAGTTTAAACACCACAACCAATGCGAAAACACGTGCTCTATGTGTAGGGTATTGAGGTGCCATTCATTGTAAACGGCAACTCAACGCACTCTCCCAAGCACATCAGCTCATAACTACATGTATAGCATGTGCTGTGGTGCACTGCGTTTAAAAAAAAAAAAGGCATTATACATTTTTTCATCTGTTGTGGTGCATAATGAATGGACTGTCTTAATGTAACACGAGGTAATGCATGTAAAAATGTGCATGAATGAGCTACGATGGATCACTTTTGGTGTAAATGAGCCCTCAAGGACTAATATTAAGATACAGGCGGTGATGGGCCCATTTATGACATAATAGCACATTAAAACAACACTCACTCTACTTTAAAGCAAAGCATAATGTATTCTTGGCCAGCACATATTATGAATCATCACTGCAGTGTTTGCATCAAAGTCATTTATTACAGCGGCTTGCAAAAGTATTAAAAGTATTTTTTCTATTTTGTTACATTAACAGCTGGAATTAAAATTGACTTTTATTTGGATTGCATATAATGGAGATAAACAAAATGGTCCAAAATAGTGAAGTGATAAATAAATAAAACGGAAAAGTGGTGCGTGCATATGTATTCACCCCCTTTGCTATGAAGCACCTACATAAGATCTGGTGCAACCAATTACCTTCAGAAGTCACAGAATTAGTTAAAGACCACCTGTATGCAATCTAAGTGTCACATGATCGTAGTATATATCCACCTGTGCAATCTAAGTGTCACATGATCGTAGTATATATCCACCTGTATGCAATCTAAGTCTCACATGATCGTAGTATATATCCACCTGTGTGCAATCTAAGTGTCACATGATCGTAGTATGTATCCACCTGTATGCAATCTAAGGTGGCCATACACTTCACAACCCTCGCAAGACGAAACTTTCGTCTTGCGAGGGTTGCAAAGTAATTAAAAAACGTACGATCTGCCCATCTTGGACAGGCAGATCGTACTTGTGATCATTGCAAGCCTGCCCCCTTGAGGTGCGGGCTTCCGATGACTGCCAACAGGCAGTGTGCACGTGCGCACAACGGCCCATATGGCAGTTGTTGAACAAGCAGGCCACTACGATTCTCGGCGGGTTTTCCAACCTGCTTGTTCGACGGAAGACGTGCGACCGTACAGTAGAAACGGTCGCACACCTTCCATAGACTTTGCGATTATCGTACGATAACCTTTAGTGTCACATGATCGTAGTATATATCCACCTGTGTGCAATCTAAGTGTCACATGATCGTAGTATATATCAGGGGCGTCCTGAGGCAGGGCGTCACCTGGAGTGGGTACCGGGTGACACCCCCCAGTGACACCACTGCACATATGCGTGACATCGCGCACATTCTTGATGACGTCACGCGCTGTTACCTGCCAGCGGCCATCAAGGCCCCGAAGTCTGCAACACCACTGAGCGAGGGGCACCATGAAGACCCAAGGAGCTCTCCAAACAGGTCAGAGACAAAGTTGTGGAGAAGTACAGATCAGGGATGGGTTATGGTGGGAAAAAAACCCGCAAAACTGTGAACATCCCACAGAGTAACATTAAATCCATTACCGTATATACTCAAGTATAAGCCGTCCCGAATATAAGCCGAGGTACCTAATTTTAGCAAAAAAAACTGGGAAAAAGTATTGACCCGAATATAAGCCAAGGGTGGGAAATGAGGCAGCTACTGGTAGATAGATACCAATAAAATTACATTAATATTTATTTAAAAGAAAAATAACCTAGCTCTGTAAGTGGAAAAGGGGGTACAGGGCTACATATCATGTACTACGGATCATTCATATTAGCATTATTAGCAGAGGATAATTGTAAATCTATTGTTCAGTGCACTCTATATGTAGTATATAGTACATGTACATATAGAGTGCCTGCAACAATACATTTACAATGATCCTCTGCTAACATGAATGGGTTAAATGATCCATAGTACAGGGCTACATACAGATCATTTAATACATTCATGTTAGTATAATTGTAAATGTATTGTCTGCACTGTATTAGCAGTATATACTCTATATAGAGTATATACTGCTAATACAGTGCAGACAATACATATATAATTGCTTAATGAATCTCTCTCTCTACCCCCCCCCCCCCCCCACTCACTGTGTCCGTGTGCCGGTGATCGATCATCACATCACGGAGAGAGCAGGGACGAGTCAGCGGCGCGCTGGTCCAGTGGGAGGAGCTCCAGGTGGGGTCCTAATTTAGCTGGCTCAGAGGTGCCTGCCCGCTAAATTACAACCCCACCTGGAGCTCCTCTCGCCTGATCAGCGCGCCGCTGACTCATCCCTGCTCCCCTGCTGTACTGGCGCTGCGGGGTTTTTTTTTTCTTCTTACTTACCTCGCCGAGCGTCGCTGCTGCTCCGGTGGGCGGCGCTCCGAGCGGGGTCATCTGGCAGTCTCCGGCCACCTAAATTAGGACCCGGAGACTGCCAGATGACCCCGCTCGGAGCGCCGCACACCGAGCAGCAGTGACGCGACGCTCGGCGAGGTAAGTAAGATGACTCGCTGGCGCTGACTCGAGTATAAGCCGAGGGGGGCACTTTTCACCCAAAAAAATGGGCTGAAAATCTCGGCTTATACTCGAGTATATACGGTATTAAAAAAATGGAAAGAATATGGTACCACAACAAACCTGCCAAGAGAGGGCTGCCTACCAAAACTCCTGGACCAGGTGAGAATGGCATTAATCAGAGAGGCAACAAAGAGACTCAAGATAACCCGGAAGGAGCCTCAAAGCTTCCCAGCAGAGATTGGAGTATCTGTCCATAGAACCACTTAAAGCCGTACACTCCACAGAGCCGCCTTCATGGAAGAGTGGCCAGAAAAAAGCCGCTGCTTACAGAAAAAAAAATAAGCAAACACGTTTGATGTTCGCCAAAGGTCATGTGGGAGACCCCCCCAACCATATGGAAGAAGGTCCTCTGGTCAGATGAGACTAAAAACAGTTTTTTTGGCCTTCAAGGAAAATGCTATGTCTGGCGCAAGCCCAAGAACACCGTCTCCACAGTGAAGCATGGTGGTGGCAGTATTATGCTGTTGGGGATGTTTTTCCTCGGCAAGGACTGGCAAACTGGTCAGTATTGAAGGAATGATGGATGGTGCAACACTCGAGTGGTTTAAGAGAAAACATTTAAATGTCTTGGAATGGCCTAATCAAAGCCCAGACCTCAATCCAATTGAAAATCTGTGGCATGACTTAGAGATTGCTGTACACCAGCGAAACCCATCCAACGTGAAGGAGGCGGAGCAGTTTTGCTTTGAAGAATGGGCAAAAATCCCAGTGGTTAGATGTGCCAAGCCTGTAGAGACGTACCCCAAGAGACTAGCAGATGTAATTGCTGCAATAGGTGGCTCTACAAAGTAGTGATTTGGAGGGGGGGAGGGGGGAGCCTGTTGGCTTCTTCTGGGCTGCTAGACCGGTCCCCGCAGTCTCTTCTCCCCTGGGCTCTGGCAGTCTTAGTCTGTTGATGTCATCACCAGACCTGCATTAGACGTGAGGACATGGCAGGGAGATTCTACCAGACCTAGCAAAGAAGAGTGCTGACCACTGGGCGAGCAGGGATCAGGTAAGTTGGCATTACTCCAGCCCCTGGTAAAACACAAGCACCTAACCCTGGCAGTCCGGGGGTAGGGGGAAGTCTCACTGCAAGGGTAGTTTTTTTGTTTGCCTGGAGATGAGGTTTAACACACTGAAACAAGTATTCCCCTTTTTGTTTCTTACAAGTATTTATATAGCACTGAGAATGTACACAGCACTGTACATATCTGCACATTCACATCAGTCCCTGCCTTCAAGGAGCTTACAATCTAAGGTCTCTATGTCACATGCACGCAGGGCCGATTTGGACAGGAGCCGATTAACCTGCCTCATGCTGATCTATATTATATGTATGTCTCAAAAAATAGATGAAAGGCATTGGGGGGAATTTATCAAAACTGGAGCAGTTGCCCATGGCAACCAATCAGCTTCTCTCATCAGTCTGCTCAGGTAAGATTTGAAAATGAGACAGAGAAGCTGATTGGTTGCCATGCACAGCTGCCCCAGATTTTGATGATTTCCCCCCAATATGTTCCCTTTAACCTCCTTCTGCAGTAATGAATGTGATCCAAAGTGGGGCTCACCTCTCCTGTCAGCAGGTAGATAATTTCTAAAGCATGATTCAGGATCTTCTCGGATATCTGCTCCTTGGTGTGGCCCATTGTCAGTGCTGAGGATGCCAAAGTGTCTAACATGGTAACGACTGAAAGCTGAAAAACAAGAGCATGCGTATAGGTTACAGATCCCTGGAAGGTGAGGTATGAGCGCGCCCCCCCATCCCCCTTCAGGTTAGGATGAGCATAGATAGGGTGATCGCTCATCAGCAGCCCCGACCTCTAGTTTTATTCTCTTTGTACTCATACACTAAAAGGATCACTCCATTTTTATAAGGAAGAGTGTCTGATAATTTAGGAATAGCCGTTTATCTAGCATATTACATGACTCTGAATGATGAAGGATTATGACACCAAGGGCCCATTTACAAGTGGCCGCCATGGTGCGATCTGTAGTGGAATGCACGTTATATACATGATACATTAGCACTCTGCAGTATCATTCATTTTAACTAGCAGCAGCATACACTACGACATTGCAGCTCTGACACATGCGTTGCAGCACACCATAATGCACGACCATGCGTAGTGGTGCACTGTGTCAGAACAAATGCTGCATGTCTGGGGGTTTTCTGGTCTGTACTGATGTGTTAGCGGCCCGTTCATTTTCACAGGCCGACTTAATGCCGCACACATGAAAGTAGAATTAAAGTCCATCTTATTTTTGGCATATATCTACTACTAAGACGCACTAGATATATGCCCCATGAATAAAGTAGGCAAATACCCAATGACTTACCTGTTCCAGCGCCGCTCCCTCCTGGCTGAAGAACTCCCGGCTGGCTGTGAAGCTGGAAGTGTGCGGGCGCATGCGCAGTAGAACGGAGAAAAGAGAATGGAAGCAGCCGGAAGTGCGCATGCCGGGCAGACACCGCGGGACATGAGGACTCTGCGCTAGATCAGAGGCTGGCACCAGCACTGGAGGGACTGTCAGAAACCAATAGAATGAAGATGATCGCAACAAGAGGCATCACATAAGGTAAGAACTTACAGCAGCATTGGGAGGGGGTGGGCACCTTTAATATCACTTTAACACCGCAAGTGGACATAAAGTAATTTTTTTTTATTATTGCTGACAGATAGAAGTATATGACAGAATAGACTGTGGGGGAAATTCATCAAAACTGGAGCAGACAGAATCTTGAGCAGCTGTGCATGGGAACCAATCAGCTTTTATCTTTAGTTTGTTCAGTTAAGATTTGAAAATGAAAGAGAGAAGCTGATTGGTTGCCATCTACAGCTGCTTCAGATTCTGTGTAGGCCTCTTCTGTCATAACTGCTTCTTTCCTGCTGGTCAGCGCACACAAGCAGGTTAGGTCATCCGGGACCAACCAAAGCCATAAGCTCAGAAGACGGCAAGGAGATTATGTAAGCGCCAATGTCAGCGGACAGCGCTGACACCACAGTGCTGGAGATCGCCTGCAAGGTAAGTCTTCCATAGTGTGCCAATATGCTGTGCATGCTACAGTTGTTGTGGAACTACAAGACCCATGATGCATTGCAAGAATCTGATGGCCACAGGCACGGCTCTTAGAGGTATGGAGGGATTTATAGTTTCACCACAGCTGCGATGCCAATGTCCCCTGTAGGTCATCTCCAAAGCCTGGCTGAATGCTCCCACATAGTTTGCATGGTCCCATCCTGGATAATAGGCAGGACACAATATTCGATGGCTGCTCACCCTCAGCAAGGCAAGAGGAGGAGTCAAACTCCCATGTCCAAATACTGCACTCTCCTTTTCCCCCATCCCAATGCTGAGCTCAGAGACGGATCACTCTGCACGGTATTTGTACATGGGGATGCGATGGCTCCTGCGTCGCTGGGGGGCGAGCGGCCAATGGGTTTCCTGCATCATGATCACGGACGGGACAATACAAACCATGTGGCAGCTTTCCAGGTTTCAGGGGCAAGCTAAACAACCTGCGAGTATCTGGCTACATTACAGCGGACCTTTAAGAATAAATAACTATTTGGCTCCTCCCCCTTCATCTCCTTCTGTGTGTACTGCAGCTCAGCACTTCCTCCTTTCTTGCCCAGGCGAGAGTGACGGGTCCCCCTGGGCTGTCCATCTCACACATGCAATGATATGGCTCTGCGCTCTCTCAGGTGCCTGTCAGAGATCCGCAGCATGGCTTCGCACACACAGGGAATTCCTGCACATGTGGAGCAGGTCCCAGATGTTAGAAACCATGTTGCGCATGCAAGGAAACTCCACCCCACATGTACGCAGAGCTCTGCTAGGTGTTTAGGATCTGGCAGAGGTACTTATGGCACACGTGTGCATGCATGGGGCAGCTAGCAGCATGTAGAAGGGGTGGGGCAAGATGAACACATGGGTAGAGTTCCCCTTTAAGTGTATTTTTAATATACTGCTTTACTCATTACCTTCTGAGTGACCAACCCGGAACAAGGATCACCAATGACCGCATGCTTGTTCCTTGTATGTGAACTAGCATTCTTTGGCAGCAATGAGCAACATCCATAGGCAGTCACTGCTTCCCTCTCCTTCTAAAAAATGCTGGCTGCCATGCTTCAGATCTGCCTTCACTTGCCGCATGCTTGTCCCATGGCCATGACCAAAAGCAATGAAGCCAGAGGCAGCCAGGCTACTGGCATTTTTAGGAGTCACTCACTCCAGGTCTCCCATGGCACTGCGTGTGGCCTGTTCTACTATGAGGCAGCCTATGGCTTGTTCCCTTTTCTTGGCCTGCAGCAACCCCCGTCAGCCTCTGTGCTCTGCCCTGCTTGGACTTGTAATGCCACAGCAGCTGCACACCTCCCCGGACAGCCCTGTGCAGCTTCCTGCACGCTGCCCTCCATTGTACATCGCAGAGAATTGATTGGAACCCACACAAATGGAAGCTCTCACCTTCCTTGGAAACGGCCTCGCTGCTGATTGGCTCTGCCGCCGTCACGTGAGCTCAGAGGCAAAGGTCTCCGGTGGTTTGTTGTCTGCGCAGTGACGTCCCCGGCAGCCCAGCAAACCACAGGGCAGAAGCCGTTCTACCAATAGGAAGTTGATATGCATAACCACGCCCTTAATGGGCGTATTAGACCGTCCCTTCTTTGGTGATTTCTGCATAGTCCCGTCCTTTACAGTGTTGAGCGTAGAGCGCTCGCCTTGCCTCTGGTCCAATTATAGGCGCCCCTCCGGGGTTCATATGCATAGCCCTGCCCACTGTCAATGGTCAATGTAGATGCTCTCCGCCCATTATTTTACAGTTACATTTTACTTCCGCCTTCTCGTGATACTAACCAATCGGGTTTGCAGGTCATGCTGCTTATATCCGCCCTTTCTAGCTCTTGGCCAATCAGTGCTCCAGCAGTTGTAGCCGGTTTAGCGGGAGATTTGAAACAGGAGATGTTGGAGAACAGTCAGCATAGAGCACAGCCCGGCCACCTCCCTCATCACTCCCCGCCTGGCCGCCGCAGGTCTTCCCGGGGACTCATGGCCGGCCATGGAAAAGCCAGCAGACAGGTAGAGCCGGGCAGTGGAAGCAACCCTCAGAACCAGCTGCAGTGTCTCATGTCTGTCCCTTGAAATGTCCCTGGTCCTCAGCTACAGAATGACACTCCCCTCCCACCTGCGGATCCCTCTTCTTTGCATCCATCAACAGCTGTCCCTGTTCTGACTTCCCATCCCTCTGCCGTGCCTGTGTCCCCAGATGTCTCTGTACTTTCTCTGGACCCTGATACTTCTGTCCCTGCGTCCCTCCACATCTGTCCCCCTGCGTCCCTCCACATCTGTCCCCCTGCGTCCCTCCACATCTGTCCCCCTGCATCCCTCCACATCTCTGCCCCTGCATCCCTCCACATCTGTCCCTGCATCCCTCCACATCTGTCCCTGCATCCCTCCACATCTGTCCCTGCATCCCTCCACATCTGTCCCTGCATCCCTCCACATCTGTCCCTGCATCCCTCCACATCTGTCCCTGCATCCCTCCACATCTGTCCCTGCATCCCTCCACATCTGTCCCTGCATCCCTCCACATCTGTCCCTGCATCCCTCCACATCTGTCCCTGCATCCCTCCACATCTGTCCCTCTGCCCTTGCATCCCTCCACATCTGTGCCTCTGCCCCTGCATCCCTCCACATCTGTCCTTCCTCTGGACCCTGATCCCTGTGCCCCTGCATCCCTCCACATCTGTTGCTCTGCATCCCTCCACATCTGTTGCTCTGCATCCCTCCACATCTGTCCCTCTGCCCCTGCATCCCTCCACATCTGTCCCTCTGCCCCTGCATCCCTCTGCCCTTGCATCCCTCCACATCTGTGCCTCTGCCCCTGCATCCCTCCACATCTGTTCTTCCTCTGGACCCTGATCCTTCTGCCCCCGCATCCCTCCACATCTGTTCTTCCTCTGGACCCTGATCCTTCTGCCCCCGCATCCCTCCACATCTGTTCTTCCTCTGGACCCTGATCCTTCTGCCCCTGCATCCCTCCACATCTGTTCTTCCTCTGGACCCGGATCCCTCTGCTGTGCCTCTGTCACCAGATGTCTGTGCCCCTGCATCCCTCCACATCTGTGCCCCTGCATCCACCCACATCTGTGCCCCTGCATCCCTCCACATCTGTGCCTCTGCCCTGTATCCCTCCACATTTGGTTTGGATCTGTCTCTGTCTCTCTTCTGGACCTGGATCTCTCTGCTCCTTATCCCTCCACAGCTATCCCTCTTCTGGACCCTGATCCCTCCGCCCCTCATCCCTCCACATCTGTCCCTCTACTGGACCCGGATTCCACTGTCCCTCATCCCTCCACAGCTGTCCCTCTACTGGACCCGGATCCCTCTGCCCCTCATCCCTTTACAGCTGTCTCTCTCTTCTGGACTTGGATTCCTCTACCCCAGATTCCTCTACAGCTGTCCCTCTTCTGGAGCCGGATCCCTCTGCCCCTCATCCCTCCACATCTGTCCCTCTTCTGAATCCGGATCCCTCTGCCCCTCATCCCTACACATCTGTCCCTCTTCTGGACCCGGATCCCTCTGCCCCTCATCCCTTTAAAGCTGTCTCTCTCTCTTCTGGACTTGGATTCCTCTACCCCGGATTCCTCTACAGCTGTCCCTCTTCTGGAGCCGGATCCCTCTGCCCCTCATCCCTCCACAGCTGTCCCTCTTCTGAATCCGGATCCCTCTGCCCCTCATCCCTCCACATCTGTCCCTCTTCTGGACCCGGATCCCTCTGCCCCTCATCCCTTTAAAGCTGTCTCTCTCTCTTCTGGACTTGGATTCCTCTACCCCGGATTCCTCTACAGCTGTCCCTCTTCTGAATCCGGATCCCTCTGCCCCTCATCCCTCCACATCTGTCCCTCTTCTGGACCCAGATCCCTCTGCCCCTCATCCCTCCACAGCTGTCCCTCTTCTGGACCCGGATCCCTCTGCCCCTCATCCCTTTACAGCTGTCCCCCTTCTGGGCATTTTCAGGTGTCCCATGTAGGGAGCACCCACTAAGAGTAGTATTACCAAGGCATGACAGATTTGCTCAAACTGGAAAAGGTTGCTCTCCATTTGGTTTACAAATCCACCCAGCAATGCGATCATGAATGAAGTTTTTTAATGGTGCACCAGACTCACTTTCGGTCTGAATTAAATACAAGTGATGTGTTTTCTTGTAGGCAGAGCTGGAGAAGGTACTGGGGATAACTGTTTCAGGCAGCAGCAGTTTAACATGCGACCCAAACAGCGGACTGGTTGCCTATCCAGCAGGGTAACGGCTATAGACTTTATATTTTTAAAATGGATAAAATATATGTAAATATTCATAAAAAAATCAAATGTAAATATCTTATTAGAGAAATGAAAATGTGTATAGACCTGTAATTTTAGACTTTGTGTATGGAAATGTTGGGGCTCACGAGCTGACCTTCCAGGAGAGGATATTTTAACTCGGAGGAAGCCATGAATGATGTTTTATAAGACCTCCACAGCTGGAGATGTCTCCTTGTCTCTTTCGTATGGAGCTTTTCCTATGTCCTCCAGGGCTCGCCATTGCTTAGGAATCAATCATATACAGCCCAGTTATCACAACTGATGTTTTGAGTTTGAATGATGATTGCAGAGACCACCTAATAAGTTATATGCTGAGAACTACTAAAATAATTGCTTCATTCTCTTTATGTGGATTACCCCAACTGAGTATAATTCTTAATGTGGAAGCAAATTTCACTGCTGGGGGTGAGGTTTCACCATAATCTGGAAGTAAGCGCAGCAGATTATGGCACACCCTTATCTCTTATGTCCACCAATGGTCACGGGTCAAGGCAGCTGTCACTGATATGTCCCCCACAGTCCCCATCTCCACTGCCAATTCTTCCTGGTCCTGCAGTGATCCTCTTCCACCCTTGGGTGGCCAATCGTGATGCAACTCCTGCACAGGGGTTATTATTATTATTATTATACAGGATTTATATGGTGCCAACAGTTTGCGCAGAGATTTACAATATAAGGAAGACATTGCAGTTACAATAGAAATCCGGACAAGATGGTAAGGAGGGCCCTGCCTATGAGAGCTTACAATCTAAAAGGGGAGGGGCGAGTGATACAATATTACAGCCACCACCTTTTGTATCTGGCCCATCCCAGCTTATAAAAGACGCATGGAATGTACACTATACAGTGCAAGAAAAATAAAACAAGGGAGGAAAGAGGAAGACATTTCTATCTCCTAGTTTTTGTATTTTTTATTTTGAGAGTTTAAAGTTGTATTTAACTCTCAACCCCCCAAACCCCTGTTTTTTTTTTTTTCAATTATGAATTCAGATGAAAACATTTACATTGCTCAACAAAGTGTTTCACTTACTGTCATCATGTTTGCCCACAGCTAACTCCAACTCTCTCAGCTCGGCTTTCCTGAACTCTCTGTCCAGTACAAGATCACAATGGACAGAGCAGACATTAGCAGCTGTCCATCTACTAGCTTGGAGAAAGGAAGAGGGAGGACCGGGAGCAGAGAACTGGCTTGTCTTGCTGTGCCTGTGTGTTTTTAAAGACACACAGCTACTGAGCACATACAAGGGTGGTTCCATTGGACCCTACAAGGGAAAGGAGCCTCCCTGAGTCAGGATTGTTAGGACCAGTGTTCAGGGGACCAGCTGATTCTGCAGGACACTTTTACTATTTATGCATACTGCATCTGCTTCTGTTTATATCTTAAATTTACATATTTTGTTAAATATACCACAGATAGAAAGAAAACATCTTTAGAAACTTTCTCTGCTGTTTCTATGCTCCTTTTAAGACAGTGTACGTTCAGAAAAGAGAGGCATAGAAACAGCCAGGATTCAATATTCTTTGTTTTTTGTTTTTTTATTCTGATGAAAGTTTAGGAACCTGCAAACACCTTAAGGGAGTTGGGCATATGCCATGTTCAGCATAACAGGACTTCAGATGATAAAGAAAATATACTCCCCTGATCCTCAGTCCCTCTTGGCTGCTAGACTGATCCCTGCAGCCTCTCCTCCCCTGGGCTCCTGCGGACTAAGGACCCGTGATGTCATCATCACATTTAATGCAGCTGCATTAGACGAGAGGATGCCGACGGGCATTCCACTGCCAGAGCAAAGGGAGAGAGGGGTCACCACTGCAGGACTGAGGATCAGATGAGTATATTTTCTTTATTTTAGCCCCTAGACCACAATGAGCAGTTAACCCTTGCAGTGCATGGGTAGCCCCACTACAAGGTTTGATTTTTAGATTTCCTGGAGTGCGTCTTTAAATTTGGCTTAAACCAAGTGTTGGCAGGAGTGGCTCTGGGAAGGCTGTGTAGCTTAAGAGTGGCTGAGCCCAACTATTGACAGTTAAAGGTTCACACACAGTGTATGTATGTATGTATGTACCGTATATGCCGGCGTATAAGACCGGTTTTTAGACCCGAAAATCGGGGGTCGTCTTATACGCCGGGTATACTGTATGTAGCTTCGGCTACATACAGTATACCGCGCTGAGTCAATCACGGCTGGCTTTGTATTAATTAATACAAAGCATGTATTAATGAATGCAAAGCCTGCTGTGATTGGCTCAGCGCGGTATACTGTATATAGCTGAAGGACGGAACCCGGAAAATGGAGGACGCTGCGGGGATCGTGGACAAGGTAAGAGACTGTAATCCCGAGTGTGGCTCGGGGTTACCACTTATGGTACTGAAAATTAACCCCGAGCCACACTCGGGAATACCGCCATGGAGGTTAGTGGGTGCATTTAAACATTATTTTGGCCTATACTCATCTTATACGACGAGTATAGCCCAAAATCTATATTTGAACACAAAAAGTAGGGGGTCGTCTTCTGCGCCGAGTCGTCTTATACGCCGGCAAATACGGTGTATGTATGTATGAGAGATATAGATATATTTTAACTTCAAATTATCGTTTGGGACCTTCAGAATTTTAATGAAATATTTCTTCCCTTTCTAGATGTGTCATTGTTCTTCTATGTCCAAGAAAAAACAAACAAGCTCATATATTCAACGCGTGCAGGTAACCACCAACTCATCCTTATTGTGTGTTTGGTGGCCGGAGATTGATGATCTGATCTTCTGGAGGTCACGGTTTCTGGTGCTTGAGGTCTGTGTGTGTAGTCGACAAGTAATCGGTACAGATTCTAATTAGACTTTTTTGTTGTTTTTTTTCTTTCTAGCAAGCAACTGAGTGCTTTATCCTTCTCACCGGATGGGAAGTATATAGTCAGTGGAGAGGTAGGTTGAACTGTGAAGGTAGTGCTGGGCTTTCTCTCGTCTCTTGCGATGGCCTGACAATTTCTAGAAAGTCATATTTTTGTATTGCTTTGTTTGAATGCATTAAAAAAAAAAAACACTTTAAAGTGGAATTAAACC